GCAGGATGGCCTTAAGGCGACCCCTGTGAAAGGGTCGTTTGACCGCCAAAGGGTTGTGACCCACAGGTTGAGAACTGCTGCTCTAGGGCATGTGCAGGAGGCAACCAATTGATGTTTCTCTCACGTCAATATTTCTCTCTGTCTTTCCGTCTCTGTTCCATTTTCTCTAAAAATCAATGGAAAAATACCTCAGGTTAGGATTTAAAAAAAAGTTGAAAAACAGATCCTATATAATAAAAGCCTAATATGCAAATTGCCCCCTTGACCGGGAATTCGACCAGGGGGTGGGGCCAGCAGCGGCAGCAGGCAGCCAGGGGCAAGGAGGTGCCCCAGCCTGCAGCCAGCAGCTGCTAGGGACCCTACCCGTGCACAAATTTTATGCACTGGGCCTCTAGTATATAATAAACTAGTTTTAAAAAAGAATAAACTGTTTTGTGTACTCATAACTGTAAATCTACTTTTGCCCCACCCTGTATGTATGTGTGTGTGTGTGTGTGTGTATGTATAAAATCTTAGGACATATGAACTTGTCCCCCACCTTATATGATATTGTCATCCAGTATCTTAATTGTGGTCAGTATTCCTTCACAGATTGGGCAATATACTGTGTGTGTGTGTGTGTGTGTGTGTGTGTATGTAATATATATATATATATATATATATATATATATATATATATATATATATATATATATAATCTCCCACATTCAAAGGCTGTTAAATAGTGTTGTTTACCCATATCTTCAGAAAAAAATCACTTCTGTCATGGTAAACAACCTGCTTCCCTATTTATAATGGTCTGGCCCTCTAGCAACTTCAGCTCGAAATTATAGCTAATTTGCCTACAAACATCAGGTGGTCATAATAATCTGGTCACTCAGTGTATTTTTAAATGTTATGCAATGTTTGCTTAGAGTTGCTGACATATTTATAAATATGTTCATCATTTCTTCATGCTCCTCAGATTTCCATATGGGTTCATTTTCCTTTTGGCTGAGGTACATCCCTTAAAAGGTCCTTTAGTGAATGTCTGTGATCTCATATTTGTATCTGTCTGAAGTTTTTAATAATTTCTAATCCATATAATATTTATACATGCTTTAGAATTGTAGTTTATTTTCCCTCAGCACAATGAAGATAGTATTCTACCATCTTCTAGCTTCCATCAGATTGCTGTTGAGAAGTCAGAGAGCAATCAGTATTGCTCCTTGATAGGTGATGTGTCTTTGGTCTCTGGATGCTTTAAATATCTTATCTCTTTTCCTTTGGTGTTCCTCAGTTATGTGATGATGTGTCTAGATATGGCTTTTGTTTTTATTTATCCTGCTTGGGATTTATTCGAATTCCTGAATTTAAAGATGTGTGTTTTCAACACTTCTGGAAAATTATGTTAGTAAGAAGTTGAATATTGTTTTCCTATTTTATTATCTGTTTTTAAATAGTTTTGATATGTAATTTATACACCATAAAGCTCATTTGTATAAAGTGTTTAGTTCCATGGTTTTTAGTATATTTGGAGTTGTGCATCTTGACTATGGTCTAATTTTAAAACACTTTACCCCCCCACCCCCAAAGAATCCTTGTACCTATTACCAGTCACTTCCCATTTCTATCCCACCTGTTCCTGTCTAGTCTTAGGAAATCACTAATTTACTTTCTTTTCCTATAGATCTGCCTATTTGGACATTTCCAATAAATAGAATCCTACAATATGTGATCATTTGTTAGTGGCTTATTTCACTTGCCATAATTTTTTTTTATTATTTTGATTTATTTCAGAGAAGGAAGAGGGAGAGATAGAAACATCTATGACGAGAGAGAATCATTGATTGGTTGCCTCTTGTACGACCCCTACTGGGGAGTGAACCCGCAACCCAGGCATGTGCCTTGACCAGGAATCAGACTGAGATCTCCTGGTTCATAGGTTGATGCTCAACCACTGAGCCACACTGACTGGGCCACTTGCCACATACTTTTAAGATTCATTCATACTAGTATTGTAGTACATAGCTGTACTTTCTTTCTATTGCCAGATACTAGTAATATTCTATTTTATGGATATACCACATTTTATTCATCCATTCATTATTTGGGTTGTTTCCACTTTTAGCTGTTGTGAATATGCTGCTGTGAACATTTGTGTGTAGGTATAGGTTTACATTTCTGTTGTGTAAATAACAAACAGTGAAATTTTAGGTCATATGCTAACTCTATATTTTAGATTTTGAGGAATTGTCAAACTGTTTTCCAAAATCACTATATCATTTACATTCCCACCAGCAATGTATGAGGGTTCCAATTTTCCCACCCCCATTATCTCTTTTAGGAGCTATGACTAGACATATGCTAGACCTTCTCACTACTGGGATGCCCATTGTGACATTCTTTTGAGTTTATAAAGCTATTGTAATAATCATAACCTGCATGTCTTTTTCCATACAAACAACTGTAAACTTACTTTTGCCCACCCCTGTATATCCACCATCTATACTAATAAAAGCCGAAGTGGTCCTCGCACCCTTGCGTGACATCGTCACAAGATGGCCACCACAAGATGGCCACACGCACAGCGGAGGTGGGGCCCGGCGGCCAGGAGGCAGGTCCCAGCAGGGGAGGGCAATTGTGGGTGATCAGGCCAGCAGGGGATGGCAGTTGGGGCGATCAGGCCGGCAGGGGAGCAGTTAGGGGACGATCAGGCCGGCAGGGGAGCGGTTAGGGGGCAATCAGGCTGGCAGGGGAGCAGTTAGGGGGCAATCAGGCTGGCAGAGGAGCGGTTAGGGGCAATCAGGCAGGCATGCAGGTGAGCGGTTAGGAGCCAGCGGTCCCAGATTGTGAGAGGGTACAGGTGGGGTTGAAGGACACCCCCACCCCCACCCCCATGAATGAATTTCGTGCATCGGGCCTCTAGTATCTTATATCCTGTCGTATTTTCAGTCTCTTTATATTCCATATAAATACATTCAATCTATCATCCAGTTCACTAATCCTATCTTCAGTGGTAGAATCTATCTTCAGTGGTAGAACCCATTTTTCAAAGTTTTTTTGTTTTGTTTTTTTGTTTGTTTGTTTGTTTTTACTTTCAACTACTAAAAATTTAATTTTGAGAATTTCTACGTAAACTTTTCTCCGTTTCTGTCAAGTTATTCATACTCATTACTTACGCTTGTCTTATATTTATTTAAACATATTGTATTAGTCATCTCAGAATGCCGTAACAATACCACAGACTGGATGGCTTAAAACACAGAAATGTATTTTCTCATAGCCCAGAGGCTGCAAGTCCAAGATCAGGATACCAGAATGGTCAGGTTCTTGGTGAGAGCTCTCTTCCTGGCTTCCAGATGGCACCTCCCCAGAGAGTCCTCAGATGGTGGAGAGAAGGCAAGCTCTCTGGGTCTTTTCTCATAGGCACTAATCCAGTCAGGGCCCCATCTTTATGACTTCATTTAACCCTAATTACTTCCTTACTCCAAATACTGTCACATTGGGGCTTGAATCTATACTAGTAAGTTCTAGGGCAGGGGTGGGCAACCCCTGGCACGCGTGCCAAACATGGCACGCCAGTAACTTTTGCTGGCACGCGAAACCCTCTCTTATAATCTTACATTTACGATTTTTTTCTTAATATTGACTTTTTTATTTTTCAGATAAATTCAGTGTAGGTGCATCTTAGATAAATAAATAATTTTACATAACATGTATACATTAAAAAATAAATGTACTTTTCATCATCATATACTGTGTTTTTGTCGCTCGAATGAATTTTATTATTTCTTCAAGGTTCTTCACATATGTACACCTTAAGAGATATCAAGTAGGCACGACATGTTCTCAAAAAATTAGGGTTGGCACGCAGAAGAATTTGGAGTCAGAGATTTTGCTGGTTTTGGCACGCACTCACAAAAGGGTTGCCCACCCTGTTCTAGGGCGACCCAATTCAGTCCATTGCACATATTAAACTTAGTTACATCCAAGTCTGTGTCTTATATTAGTAGTCTAGCATCTGAATGCATAAAGGCTCTATTCTGACTTCTGTTTTTTTTGTTTGTTTTTCTGCTGGTTCTCACAGATGATGCCTAGCCTCTTAGTATGTTTTGTGATTTTGTTTTACAGTGAGTTGCTCATTTTTGCTGGAATTTCATCTGTAGGAATTCTTGAAGGCCTGGATTGAGTTTGAATTTGTTCAGGGAAGATTTACATTTTTACCTCTCGGCCAACTAGAGGCCTCACACCAGGGGATCACTTTAAATAACATCATCAGCTTGCATTTTTCTTTTCACAAAACTCTGTAAATCCATGTGACGTTCGGTTTGTGGTTACAGATTTTCAGATGATTCTTTTTTGCAACATCCAGTTCCAACAAGACATGCATGCAAGTTTTTCTTGCTGTCTCCTTTCCTCCAGTGAAATTGTTTTTCTCACTCATCTTACACTGAGGGTTGGGTCCCAGCTTTGTGGAAGGGTCTCACATTTGATTCCTTGTTTTTGTAGCCCCCAGATTTGCCTTCTGTTCGGCATGCCCCACATAGCGTATTAAGGTAAGTTCTCCAGTGTTGGCTGAAAACCTCAGAGAAAAAGGCAAATGTAGAGGTTGCTTGTCTCCCAAGGTTCATGATTGCACTCCAGGCTCTGTGAATTCTTTATGGTCTTTCCAGTTCAGAGAGACTTTTAGAATGCTGTGTGTGTGTGTGTGTGTGTGTGTGTGTGTGTGTGTATACACACACACACATACATATATGCTTTAACTGACATTCTTACCATTTAATTAGAAAAGTATGGTGAATTATTAGACTAATGGTCCCCAATGAGGTATACCTCCGTGTTGGTGCTCCTTTGAAATGTAACCTTGCTACTCTAGCTCCTATCTAAAAGTGAGGTCTGTTTCCCCACTCCTTGATCTGGGCTGGGCTGTGACTTGCTTTGACAATAGAATGTCGTGTAGGTGACTTACGAGGCCTTTGGCTTTTGCTTTCCTTGAACATTTCCGCCATCATGTGAAGAAGTCCTAGATGGACGATCACATGAGGAGAGAGGTGGAGCCATTGAAGCCAACTCAGCTGAGACCTCAGACACGTGAGAGAGGACGTGTGAGAATGGCTATTCTCCACCCAACCCGCCAACTGAAAGCAGCCACATGAGTGAGCTCAGGTGAGACAAGCAGAATCTCTCAGCCAATTGTGAGAGATAATAAATTATTTTTGTTTTAAGCCACTACACTTTGGGGCGGTTAGTTACACACCAACAGGAAACTGATACAAAGGGTCATTTGGGATATCTAACCTCCCATATTGCTGGAAAAGGATGTTCCCAGTGTGGAAGGTAGGAACCTAAAAGGAGTAAAGAGGGCATCCATGTTGGGAGGAGGAAGGAAGTGGTAAAACAGAAATTATTTACAGTAAGGGGATTGATGAAATCATATATTAAGAATAATGGGAGAGCCTTTCTAGACTAAATCTCTTTGCCTGCCCCCTTCCAGCCCCCAGCCCGCCATGATCCCTCCAGGCAACATCCTGCTTCTACTTTTGCTCCCAGTGGCTGCTGCTCAGATAACTCCACATTCCTGTTCAGGATGTGGGCCACTCCCGGCAGGCCCTGTAGCTGCTGATGCTGTGGTGTCTCTGCTAATCCTGGTGGTGGTGTTTATGTGTGCCAGCCCATGTGACACGCCCATCCAAGAAGATGGCAAAGTCTACATCAACACTCCTGGCAAGGGCTGACTCCTGTAACTGGGACCTCTGACTTCTGACCCTCTCATCCTGGATTGTGTGCGGTGGCACAGGAAACCTACTCAATAAAGCAACTGAAATACCTCTAAAAAAAAAAAAAAAGAATAATGGGAGTTAATTTTCTCACTGTTGGAAAAGGGAGTTATAAATATGGAAACAAGAAAACTAATATCCAAGGACATTTCCCTGGAACTCATGGTTGTAAATATATATACATATATATATATATATATATATATATATATATATATATATATATACACACACACATACACAAATATATATATATATAGAGAGAGAGAGAGAAAATATAGAAGTTATATATAAGTATATAAATATATCACCTGAATCTTCCTATTAAGATATACCTAATAGGAAGTATAGCACCCCAAAAGCAATGAGCATACCTAACATCCAGATCTTGACTTCTAAAAACCATTCTTCACTAAAATAAATCATGTCTCTTTGGTGAAATAGCTAATTACAAGCTCTGGCCAAGGAAAATATCAGATGTGTTGGGAACATTTTTTCAGCATTAGAAAGTTGCAAATTGCACATAAAATGATAGAAACGTGTCAAAAGGAAATAGAAACTAATTGAAGGGGCTCTAACTAGCCAAATATGGCATGATTTGAACATCAAAAAATAATGATAATAATGGGTTATAATTCATTTAATAAAATAGGAGTCTAAGCATCCATATAGATTTTTTAAATTAATGAATAAAGTGAAAGTTTGGTAAGACACAGTATAGTTACATGGTATCAAAGTTACTCCCCACAAATTATTAATTACATACACAGACAAATAGAGTGATTTTACATGGAGAAGCATGGCAGACACCATCTTAATCAAGTGATCTAACTTTCCATCAGCAATAAGGTAACAAATTAAAATGATACATGATGTATAGAATGCAATCAGAACACAGCTTAAGCACTGTGGTGTGCCTGCCAAAGATGGGTAGCTTGTATCTAACCATGAGGAAGCGAACAGATCTCTATTAGTTAGCTATTGCTGTGTAAAAAATTACCCCCAAATTTTGAGGATTAAAATAGCATTTATTAGGGTAAAGGGAATCAAATATATGGTGATGGAAGGAGATTTGACTTTGGGTGGTAAACCCACATTACAATATACAGATGATGTGTTATAGAATTGTATACCTGAAACTTATATAATTTGATTAGCCAATGCCCCCCCCCAATAAATGTAATTTAAAAATTAAAAAAAAAGTATCACTATTTATTATCTTTCACAGTTTCTGTGGCTCAGGAATTTGGGATCAGCTTGGATGGGCAGCTCTGGCTTATGTTCCTGAGGTTGCAGGAAAGCCCACTTTCAAAGTGGCTTACCCTCATGGCCAACGGTTCTCAACCTTGTCTGCATATTAGAATCACCTGGGAATCTTTTTAAAATCCTGATCTCTGGGCCTCATTCTCCAGAAATTCTGTTTCTTTGTTACTAATGTTGTGGCCCCACCCCAAAACCAAGAAACAGAATTTCCGGAGGATGAGGCCCAGAAATCAGGATTTTAAAAAGATTCCCAGCTGATTCTAAGGTGCAGCCAAGGTTGAGAACCACTGCTCTAGACACACACCGTCACTTCTTCACTAGTCTCCTGGCCGAGTCACTTCTGGTTCAGAGTGGGAGGGGGCGACACCGAAGGGTGTGAATACCAGAAGAGAATCATTGCCGACCATCTTGGAGTTTAGCTACCACAAACCCCAATTAAGGGACAAAATTGCTGACCTGTGATTTTCCAAAGCATTAAAATCACGAAAGTTAAGCAAATGCTGACGTACCGACTCATATTAAAGGTGACTAAAGAGACATAACTAAATTCAACACATAATTTGGGACTGGATCCTTTGCTATAAAGGCCACTATTAGGTAATTGAGGAAACCTGAATGAGGTTAGAGGCTCAAAGGTCAGTGTTAATTTCCTAATTAAAATGGCTGTACGAGGCTGTAAGGCACACCTCACTTTATTGTGCTTTGCTTTATTGCGCTTCACAGATGTTGTGTTTTTTACAAATTGAAGGTGAGACTCTACACCGGCAGAAAGATTCTGATTTGCTCTGTTGCAACACTTGCTTTATTGAGGAGGTCTGGAACCAAACCTGCAATTTCTCCAAGGTAGGCATGTATACTGGAATTTTCTTATTTGAAGGAAAGACACAATAAAAATTTGGGAGTGATAGGGTATCGTGTCTCAACTTCCTCTCATTTTTTCTGAATATCTCAGATGTTGAAAGAAAAACACACAGAGCTTTAAACCCAAAGAAATAATTTAAACTACTTAAAAACACAGATGCTTAGGGGTTTTGATATTACAATTCCTTAACCCACATTATTTTAACAGACCTTCTTTTAAAAAGTCACTGTACCTTAAAACTTGAGAAGCACAGAAAAAGCCAAAGGAAATATCTATAGCATTCTGGCATTTAGCTTCCTGGTCCTTGTTCTGTGCATACATGTATATTCACATACTCTTTCTAAAAACAAATTATAAATATGATATCCTGTTGTTTAGATCTTTATCATAAACCTTTCCTTAGGTCAATAATGTTCTTCTACAGTGTAAAGAGAGATCACTTACCCGCTTTCATACATCAAGTCAACAATGAGGCTGAGGTCCAGGACAAGGTTTGCCTGCCTCCAAAGCCTGTATCTTTTCTCCCTGTACCAACTCCACTCCCTGGCCCAAGCAGGAACACACACACACAAACACACACACACACACACACACCACAACTTTTTTTTAACCACTAAAATGTACCAACAATGACAACAACGCTTGCCAGCTCTGCAGCTTTTCCTAGTTTCCGGCACCTGTTCAAACCAATAGCTCCAGGATCTTCCAAAGAGGTATATTACGATTTAATGTGCCACCTTCATCCTCAGGTCATTTACATAGCAAATAGCTGTGACAGTCTCCATTTCAGAATATTCTTTCCAGGAGGCTTATTTAAAAGAGTACTGCCTGGTTTATTCCTGGCCCCTCCATAAGTGATGATGGGATACATCAGTGAATGAGTCAATCCACCAATATTTGAATATCCACTGTGCACAAGATTCTGCATCTAAGAGCTCTTAGGAGTGCAAAGATATGCATGCTCATTCCTTCCCAGGAAGCACCCTGAAATTCAGCTAGGGAGAGAAGGTAACTATCCATACACAATACATAATAGCCCCAGGTGGTCTGTGCTCAGTGTGGGAGTCAGAGAAATACAATGGGCTTTCATTACCAGAAAGACTTCATCGAGAAGGAGCCACTTGAGCTCAGCCCCCAAAGATGCAGGGGATGTGCATGGAGCAAGTATTTCTGGCAAAAGAAATGGTATTAATAAAGATGCAGGCACAGGAATGTTTTAGACATGTGTGGTGGCTGGTGAAGAGATGTGTGGTTAGATGACAAAGAGAAAGATGGGTAAGAAGTTAGGTCAGAAACTGACTGTGGAGAGACCTGAATGCCTTATCCAGAACAAGTTTTATTATATGGGAAGCAACTGGTTTGGATGAGAGCCAGGACCTATGTGGGGAATGAGGATGTAGAGCCTTTCTGCAGACAGCTCCCCAAAGGCAACTGGTAGGGAAGTGAAGGAGAAGATGGGATGGTGGCCCCTAAAGGGTCAATTAAAGTTGTTAATATCGTTGGGCAAGCTGTGCATACCTGAAGGCTGAAGACAGTGCTGGTGGAGAGAAAGATGGAATATGATGGAGAGAGAGAATAATGAGCAAAGCAAGTTCTCTAGGGAGGTGAAGGGACATAGAATCTGGAACACATGTTGATGGAGAAGTTGGGGGAGGGGTGCCATTGAGAAGGAGGGAAATCACATACTATGATACCGGAGAGACAGCAACCAGCCTGAGTATAGAGATGGAATGGTTTGAAGCAGAGAGAGGGGTAAGACATGTGTTGTTCCAGGACAGGGAAGGCTCAGTGGGTTCGGGACAGCAGACAAGGAGAGGTCTGGTCTGGAGAGTGACGTGATTATTTAAAATGAGGTTGAAAGATGAAGGGATTGAGAAGTACTAGTTGGTAGTTTCAAAAGAGGCACAGGGATATAAGAGAAAGCACAGGAAATATAGTCAACGATGTTGTGGTGACTATCTAGGGTGCCAGGTGGGCACTTGAGTTATTAGAGGGAACACTATGCAAAGTATATGAATGTCTATCTGCTGGGATGTACATCTGAAACTAATACGAAATAGTGTTGAATGCAAACTGTAATACAAAAATAAAATACAACGAAGCTGATGGCTCGGGATAGATGGAGAAGCGGGAAGCCTGATGAGAGACCACAGATTTCCAGAGGCAAATCCCTGCCCAGAGCCCAGGATTAGTGGCCTTCTCCGACAAGTGTGCGTTGGGGCTCTCCTTGTGGTGGATACATTCCTCCAGCCCTCAGTTTTTCTTTTCCCATGGACTTGGAGCTCTCCGGAGCTAGGATTACCTTGGTTCTCTGGCAGCACTGTGCAGTAGAATTTTCTGTGGTGATATCCATGTCCTCTATTTGCACTTCCCCACATGGTAGCCACTGGCTACATGGTGGCTTCTGAGCATCTGAAATGTGGCTAACATCCCCGAGGAACTGATTTGTAACATTTTATGTTAATTAATGTAAACAGCCACACATGACTAACGGTCCCCTCTTTGGACAGAGCAGCTATTGAATGGCCCCTTTCTCGTTAGTGAAGAAGGAGATGGGACCTTCTACAGGAGTGGAGGAATGCAATGGGCCAGGTAGAGATTTGGCCGTTTACTGAGGGGTACTAGTTCTCTCAGTGACAACTCTGGTTGATCCTCCCAACAATAAGCCTGTAGTTTCAGAAACGTCACATTCTCTCCTTTTTGCTCTTGATAAGCACACTCACACAGATCAATTATTTTGGAGAATGATTTTTTTTTCACGACTATAATCTGAGTGTTTTCTTACCGTAGGGACAGTCCTGCCCTAAAATCCATACACCTGGGAAGCCGAGTGAGCTGCCCCAAGTCTTCTTGATGAGGAAGTGTGAGGACACAGGAGGCTCTACTCAGCCCAAAGTAGCTCCTGTGCTTCTTTTGCGGTCACAGGGAGGACGTCTGGAGTCCTAGCAGTAGCTCTGGCTTAGTATCAGTGAGACCTTGATTCAATCTTTGGTCCTTGAGGAAGTTGTCCGGTCATTTCAACTCCACATCTATGAAATGGAAAGAATGATACCTACTGAAATAAGCTGTTGCCTGTGTTGTGGCACATAATTAATAACTTATTTATATATTTATTCCACATTGGTTACCAGCTAATGTGCTAGGTTCTGGGAATAAAATGGTAGGCAAAGGAGATATGATTCCTGTTCCACTAGCTTATTTCACTAGCATATGTTCTGGTGTGGGAAGGTAGGCATTAATCAAGTACTCACAGACATATATACTATGTATTACATACTATATCTTTATAATATAATTATGTTACATAAAATTTCAGTCTGTGACAGGTCTAGGAAGGGAGCGTATAGGTGATTTTTTAAATGTCTGCAGATCTTATGACACTTTCCCTCTAAAAGTTAGAATCTAATTCCCCTCACTTCTAACAAAGAGAATAGGGTGAAAGAGATGCTATATGGCTTCTGAGGCTAGTTAAGAAAAAGAATAAGGCTGTCGCCCTCCCTCTCCCTTTCTCAGTGCTTGGCTTTGAATCCAAGTGACCATCTTGTGAAGAAGCCCAAGCCCAAGAAATATGAAGAGGTCCAAGTACAAAGAAACAGGGTCCTATGGCCACCACAACACCAACTTGCCAGCCCTAGGCATGAAGAGTCTTGAAGTGGGAACTCCAGTCCCAGTCAAACCTTCAGGTACCTGCCTTCCTGGCTGAGATCTGACTACAATCTCATGAGAGACCGACCAAGAGCCAGGACCACCTGACCCACAGAAATCATGAGAGGTAATACATGATTATTACTGTCTAAGACAGTAAGCTTGGGAGATATTTGTTATCCAGCATTAGATAACTAGTACACTAGAAAACCATGTGGTAAAGTCTGAGGATCAGGAAAAAAACGTCACTGGATGAAATAACATTTGAGCTAATAACAGGACAAGAGGAAGGAATCAGACAAAGAGGAGGGGAAAAGTATTCCAAGGAGCTATGCTAACACAAACAAGGGCCTTGTGGGCAAATGATAAATTTGAGGAACTAAAATTTATTCTGTGGGCTAGGAACACCCAGTTGAAAGGGAGAGATGCAAGATGCCTGAAAAGGCAGGGAGAGGTTGGCTCATGCAGGCCCTTAGATGAACTTGTCCTATATGGAGTAGACCACTCTGGAAGGGTATTCAGCAGGTAGGGATGTATCAAGCCTGACATTAGGTTTCTGGTGCTTCCCCCAGATATATGGAAAACACATGACAAGGATCATATTCATAGTGGAAGATCATAGTTTTGGACAGGCTGCTTGACATAATTTTTGAGATACCCAGGTTATACTGGCAAGCAGGGAATTAGAAATATGTGTCTGGAGTTCCAAGGAGACCTATGGATTGCATGTGCATGTCTGAAAGACAACAGCAAACAAATGGTAATCAAAACCAATGGAGTCAAGTAGCTGGCATCAGCTGGAGAGTGGACAGCATCGAGAACAGAAGAAAACCTAGGATCCAAAACTGTAATATTTAACAGCTAGCTAGAGGAAAATGGGTTGGCAAAAGGAAATGAGAGTGAGCAGCCAGAGAAGGAGGAGGAAAACGAAAAGATTGTGCCAGGAAGAGAGGGAGAATGTTTCAGGGAGTTGATGGTCAACAATGTTGAACGATCCAAGATAGGTTGGATGAAAGGCCCATTGAGCTAGCTATTCTGAGTCATGAAGGCTGGAGGGACACCTGTTTTGATAAAATAAGTGGTGGAGGCAGAAGGCCAATTGAAGAGGGTTGAGGAAGAGTGGGAGGTAAAGAAATGGAGGTAATGAGGTCAATTCCTTTCAAAAGTTTATCTGTGAAAGGGAGGAGCAAGGACAGTAGCTAGGGATGAGGTTAAAGCAATAGGTTATTTGTTGTTGTCATTTTTACGATGGGAAAGAGACTTCTGTATGTTTGAATGCTCATGAAGAGGATCCAGTATAGAGTGAGGTTGAAGATCTAGAAGAGTGGAAATGATGTATACTAAACGATTGTGAAAATGTGAGCGGGGATAGGATTCAGAAGCAGGTCAAGCCCTGGGCACATGGAGGCATTTGATATTGGCAACTCTCTGCACAATTTATTTCTAATGTTTAAAAATGGTGAAATATAGCCGAAACCGGTTTGGCTCAGTGGATAGAGCGTTGGCCTGCGGACTCAAGGGTCCCAGGTTCGATTCCGGTCAAGGGCATGTACCTGGGTTGCGGGCACATCCCCTGTGGGAGATGTGCAGGAGGCGGCTAATCGATGTTTCTCTCTCCTCGATGTTTCTGACTCTCTATCTCTCTCCCTTCCTCTCTGTGAAAAATCAATAAAAATATATTTTAAAAAAATGGTGAAATATTACAGATATATAGAAAAAAGTGCTTGAAACAAATATGTAGCTTAATGAATCATGATGGTGGGCACCATGTAGCCAGAGAAAAACATAACATTGCCAGCACTCCACAAGCCCCCACTCACTTTTCCCTTCCTTGTCACAACACTCTATCCCTACTGATAACCAAACCCCGGATTTATTGGTAACTTCATGTTCTTCTATCTAGTTTTTTCCCTTCATTCTAGTTTTGCCACCGAAGTATACATCTCTAAATAATGCTGTTAAATTTTACTTATTTTTAAACTTTATATAAACACAACTATACCTCATGGATTCTTTTATTTGATGCTTCTTTCACTCGATATTATATTTTTAGGATTCATCCATGTTGCTGTATAAAGTTATACTTCCTTCATTTTCAACACTGTATAGTATTCCATTGTGTGATTATATCACAATTCATTTTTCCCTTGCTACCATGAGTGGACATTTGGTTTGCTTCTTGTTGGGAGTTATTATAATAATGCCATAGAGAATATTCTTGTTTGAGTGTCCTGGTGCACATGTACCTGAGTTTCCTTTGGCTGCATTCCTAAGAGGAACTTCTGGGGCATAGAGTATGCTTATCTTCAACTTCACTAACTAATACCAAACTTTTCCAAAGTGGTCATACCATCTGGACTCCTCATAAGAAAAGGTGCTCAACTTCATTAGAAATGAGACACATTATATCATTATTATTAACAGATCTTGTCCTACAAAGCAATATATTCCTGTGCCAGGTGCTTCCTTAGGGTAAGTTCTAACCCAGCAATTTTCAACCCCTTTCATCTCATGGCACACATAAACTTATGACTAAAATCCTGTGGCACACCCAAAAATATATTTTTTTTGCCGATCTGACAAAAAATAGGTATCATTTTGATTCTTCCACACCAGACAGCTATTGTTGTGTTGGCTGTTGTCATTTTTTTAAATTGTTATTATTTGGCAATCTAAGAGTACAGAGGCCGGTGCCCCTGCTTAAATAGTCAGGTATTGCATGTTTTAAAAATTCTTGCAGCACACTGGTTGAAAATTGCTTTTCTAACCCACGGGCTTTCCTTTCTACCTTAAGGCCCACTCAGAGTTTCTATCTCAGCATGAGTTACCATGAAGTGGATCGCTGTGTCTCTAATGTGTTACAAGTTAGTTTCTTCCGTGTAATACTTGGCGGTAACAAACTGTCTTGTATCATAAGTGACGCAAATCAATTGTTACATCGCAGGGTCCACTGCTGCCTTGGCAGATGGTTGGTCTTTAGCATTCTGCGCAGTACTTACTATATTTGGGCGGTTGAATGGAAGGTTTTAAGAGCATACAGTGTGGAGCTGGACTGCCTGGGTTTGAATCCTCACTCACAAGAGTTACTCCTGTTTATGTGTAGGTCCTGGGAAGTGTATACTTCGCTGAATGAGACCCAGCCCATTTTCTAGTGGTTCAGATATGGGGGCATCATCCCAGTACACTGGTACAAGTAGTGTGTCTGGTGCAAGGAGCTTTGAGGGTCCTAGGGAAGAAATATCTAATTGAACAGTCTTCCTGGAAAACAAAACAAAAAACGCATGCAGATGGGAGGAATTGGAGACAATTCTGGTCAGGAAGTCACAGTACATCATGAAGAGCTTTGAATCCCAGGCCCAGGAATTTTTCTGTAATTCAGTAAGGAATGGGAGACCTTGTATTGCCAGGTGGCTGTGAGATAGGAGCTAGATTCTGAAAGGCACCCAGGTGCACTGGGCCAACAAATGGTGGTTTAGAAACCCTATTGTTTGGCTGCCACTATCATCAGACTCTATCAGGTGCTTTTGTAAGATGAGAATAGTTGGAGAGATATATCTAGGACAGTTTTAATGCCAAATTATGTTTTTACAATTTCCAAAAACCAGTGCTAAGGTGGCTAGGGTCATTATTGTGAACCTCATTACATTACCTTATTATTTCATACAAACTAGAAATAAAATGCATTAGTACCTGACCATGGTGGTGGATACCCACACAGATTAGAAAATTGAATAGGAATACAGGTACATGCAAATGAGTACAAGTAAAATGGAAAATTTAAGGTGGATTGTATCAATGTCAATATCCTGATTGCGATTTTGGAAGACATTACCACTGGGGAGAACTGGGCAAAGTAAACTATTTCTCAGTGTTACTATTTTTTTTTTTTTTTACAATTGCATGTTAATTTTCTCAACAAAAATTTCAAGGAAAATATGCACTAGTAAAATTTATGTTTTGTAGAATGAGTCACATTCCCCTTCTTCTAGTTATCTCCATACAGGGGCTTCCTGAGGCACATAAATTAGACACCATTATTTACCTTCAGGCACCAACTGGAAAGAAGAGGAAAGTGCCTCGAAGGGATGAGGCCACCAGTACAGGAACTGCTTTACTATTTTGATTTAAGTGAAAACGCAGATTACAATGACCCTGAGTTTTTGACAGTTCTGTCAGTGAGTCAACTTCACCCAGCTGTTTTCTGATACAGTATACCCACTGGGTCTACTATGTCACTTTTGGGTCCTTACCTCCAAAGGTAAGATTAAAATAATTCTGGGGAGGAGGCGGGAATGGGAAGGAGGGGCTCAATGGGGGGGGGGGGGCTGGGGGAAGGGGACATCTGTTATACTTTCAACAATAAAGATAAATTGAAAAAATAAAAATCACGATACCAAAATATAATTCTCTTATTATGGAAGTGAAGCTTACCGACCAAAAAACAAACAAACAAAAATATGGTGTGAAGTTTCCGGATATAGCATTTTATAACTTAAGGAGTCTTTAACCTGAGCCATTACTTTAGAAAAGTACAACCCACAGCAACGAGTGCACTGAATTTCTTGAGTGGCTTGGAGAAGACCGTGCTCACAGGGCCAGGGTTATTAGGAACTTTGTCATGATCACTTCTCTGCTACGCTAAAGGTTTCCTTTCCCAACGGCAGGGCCCACTTGGACTTGAAAGAGAGCCTCGAACTTTTATAAAGTGAAAGAAAGGAGAGGAAGGAATGGCCGGCTGGGAATCCGGCCCCGGGAAGGCATCCACCTTAATGTCCAGAAGAGACCTCTCACTCCTCCAGACCTGCAGAGGCTCGCGATGCCAGGCGCTCCCTCGGCGGCCGCCCGCGCTGCGGTGGGAAACCGAGGCAGGGCTGACGCGGCGCGCGCAGCTCAGCCGCGCGCCCGCCCCACGGGGAGAACCCAGGCTTCCAGCGTTCTCCGCGCGGACGCACACTCCCCCGGCCGCCCTCCTCCTCCGCCCGCCCCGCCCAGCTCGGGACAAAGCCCGGAGCCCGCGCCGGGAGGCGGCAGGGCGGCTCCCGCGCGCGCCACGCTCCCCCGTGGGCGCAGGACTCCGCCCCGTCGCCCCTCGGAGGGGGGAGCCTGCGCCCCAACATTGAGGCGGCCCCGCCAGGCCCGCCCCGATTCCCCATGACGTCACCGGCGGCGGCAGGCCCCGCCTTCGGCCCCGGGCGGCAGGCCGCATGACGTCACCGAGGCCCCACCCCTCCGGAGCGAGTTCGGTCCTGGCGTTCATTTCATTCCTGTCCTCATTCCGAACATTCTTAGCATCGCTCGCGCCGCTCCTCGCCGCCCGAGCCGAGCCGAGCCTCTGCAGCCGCCGCCGCGGCCCCGCCGCCCGCCGCGGGCGCCCACCAAGCACTTTGCAGACTCGCTTCCACCCTGCGGGCCAGTCCGCGCGGCGGGGCCCGGGCCCGGGGCGGCCGCGTCCAGGGACAGGCCATGCAGTGAAGCCCCCCCACCCCGTCCACCTTTGCCCGGAGCCGCGGGCAGCGGACCCGTGCGCCCAGACGGCCCCGGGGCCGGAGCGGTGCTAAGGAGGGGTGGGGTGGTCCAGCCCGGGGACCGGGAGCCGGGGAGGGAGACGGGCACCGAGCTGAGGGCGGGAGAAGCGGCTCCGAAGTTTGCCTCGGACTCACCGGGCGCGGCGGCGGCTCCCTTCGCGAGGTAAGTTGGCGCGCGGGGCTGATGCTGGGTGCGAGGGGCGCACGGGGCGCCGCGGGGTGGGTGGCCAGTGGCCCGTCCCTTTCCGGCTGCTCTTTCACTCCGGGCTCTGCTTTGTGTGAGACGGACGGGCGAGCGGGCACGCGGAGGGCCGGGCCGGGCCCCCTCGCCCGCCTTCCCGCGCCCCTTTCCAGGTGAGCTGCCCGGCGCCGCCGCGCGACTTGCCGGGACGCCAAGTTGGGCCGCGCGCTGCGGAGCCCGCGCGGCAACAGGCGGCCCCCGCTGGCGGCCCTGGAGGCGCCGGGCCGGCCGCGCCGCGCCCCCCGCGCCCCCCTCTCCCGCCCGCCCGCGCGCACACGCACATACCCTCACATCCGCGGGCCGTTTTCACGTTTTTCCCGGAGAAGTCAGAAGTTCGAGGGAGCGCGGGCGGGGAGAGCCGCCTGGGAGCCCGAAGCCGGCCCGACCCCCCCGACCCCCTCCCCCGACAGCCTCCCGGGCCGCCCCCAGTCGTTGGGGCCCCCAGAGGCCGGCCCAGGGTCTGCGCCGACTTGTGCTGCTGGCGGGGGTTTCGCTCCTTCTTCTCCAAGATGAAAGCAGGCACGGTCGTCTTTGCCGCTTCTCCAGGGCTGTTGCCGCCGCCGCTCCTTCATTGCACATTCAAGTGGAAAATTTTCAGGAGTCAGCAGAAACATTGTGTCCAAAAAAGACTGAGTCGCAGTTACCACCAAACCCTGGAGGAGACTCTCCCTGGAAAACTTCCCTTCGGTAGGAAATACTGGGGGATTTGTTTGTTTATTGGAAGAGAAATGATCCCCAGGAGGGAAGAAAATCAGGGTGTACTTCTAGTCTTTGTTCGTAGCAGCAACACTTGTTTTCAAAAGTCCAGAGGCCCGCTTTAAAGAAAGTTCAACTTCTGTGAGTTTCCTTTTTTAAAAGTATATTTTTTAAAAAAACGGAGGCAACATTTTAAATGAGTTGAAAACAATAGAGGGCTCACACCTCCCTATTCTCCTCCCACGAAAGAAATAAAATCCAGATCACAATTTTCCTTGCTTTCAAATTCTTTCCTTTTAAAGATTTATTTAAAGTTGAGTGGTGTCACTGGATGAAAAATATTTGTGAAACAATGAAAGACCAGCCACCAGCATTTCTCAGAAGGCTTGTTAACTTCTCAGAGGCAAGTGGCTGCCCGTGATTTGTAGAAATGAAAATTGACCTCAGTAAGCACTGGAAACTTAGAGACAGATGATGTTGCAGCAGCGGGTAATGTAAAAAGGCCATGTTTTAAAAACACTGCCTTGGAGGAAGCCAGGTCCTGGGACAGAAAGATCTGCAAAACCTATCAGATATGCAAATAGTGTAAAAAATTAAAATGCTACAGATTATTGCAAAGGAGCGGAACATGATCAGGTCAGGACAGCCACACGTTTCTTCCTCCCTTCCTTTCTCTGGGGTGCTTCTGGAAGTTTAGGTGGTCTGCTCATTTGTGGTGTGCTGGGTGCCTGCAGGTGGTTTCCTGAGTAGACAGATCCCTTCAGGAAGACCTGATCTCCCTGCATGGTCAGTGCAGGGAGTGGGTTCCTTTTCTGAGCCTGCCATGGATCTTGCTTGTGTCTTATCCATGGGGGGCTCCTCTGCTAGGGAACTCTGGAGGCCGTGGTTGGGAACAGCCTTCAGGTCGTGCACAGTGCTTCTTCACCCTTCCACAGTTGGGCCTGTGCCCTTCTGTAAATAGGATCTTTGGGCCCAATCGCATTTGAATGCTTATACGGGGCCAGACTTAGATCCAACTTTGGTAAGAATCTTTCCTCTTCAGAAGGAAACGGTAGAACTAATTACAGAGTGACTCAGGAAAGACAAATGGATTAGTTGAACCTTTGTCAACATCGAGGTTTTGAATTGTTGATAATTTTTTTTTTTTTTCGGGGAAAGGCTTATTTTTCTAATCTCACTATTTCCATAAATGGTCACAGATATTTTTGTTTAGCGTTTCTTTGTATGTGTAACTCTGTTGAACTCTCAGGTTTCAGGTTTTAAACAGAGTTTACAATTCTTTTATTTGTTGTTGGTATAAAAAAATGAACTGATAAGCAGTATCCGTTACTGGTTCTTGCTGGTGGTATGAAAGTGCCAAGGCAGACCATTTTATTTTTATTTAAAGGATAACTATTATTTGATCCACAGTTTTAGGGGGAATATTAGAATATCTTTTCTTTCTTTTCTTTTTTTTTACAACTTTGAAGCAAAACCAGTATGACATTTTGCCCTGACATTGAGAGGAAAAAATATATTATAGGTAAGAATCTTTGTTTAGAGTCCTCCTCTGTGTGATCTTTTGTAAGGTAGCAAATAGAACTCCAGAGAATATTCCTGAGAGATTATTAGAGATTTTTTTTTCTTTTCCCAAAACATATACCAGGACTCACCATGACATATACTTAATGAAATTTAATTTAAAGAGGAGGGCAACCTAGCTTAGTTTGAGCCAGATTGAAATGAATTTCTCACCGAGAGGTGCTTTTTTGCATTGTGGTACAATGTGTGTGTGCTCCGCAGCAGTGAACTAATTAAACATAAGGGAGAGTTGGGATGGGGGTACAGCCTGGGGGAAGCCAGCCTTCTCCTCTGTTCCCCTTTTCTCTATCCCTCTTTTGCTTTATACAGCATGGATTCTATATTCATACGCTCACTTTGGGGACTGGTATCCCTTTTATTTAGAAAAAGGACAAGCAGGTCATAAGGAAAACCAGTGTTCTGTGTTTTTGTTGCTTGCACTTCAGTCATTTGTAAACAATTTTGAATTTTGCTGGCTCTGACAATACAGAACAACAAGTATAAGAGGGCATTTCTTAATGGGGAAATTTGGCAAGTATATAACTTGCAGTGTTCTGTCATCTGTGTCTAGATCATATTTATTGTCACATTTCAGTAAAAAAATGTGTACAGGGACAGTTAGAGAATATAGGTCCCAAGCGTTGTTTATATAGGTCTTTGAAGAAATGAACTGTGCCATTAACAATATTTTAAGATTTGTTGCTTCAGAAATGGATGGATATCTCTCACACACAGGGGTTGTAAAAGAGCCTGCACATCTGTGGGATTACTCTTCTCTAATCTCATGTGTTATTACGTGTTAATTGTGAGCATAATTATACTGCCTGCAAATGAAAATTGTTGTGTTTTATCACTCAGAAGGTTGGTGCAAATAACTGCATATATGATCTACTGTACATAAGATGACCATGCTTACACACAGATAGCAGGTAGATAACACTTTTAAAGCTTGTATTTTAGGCACCTCGTCTTGTTTCTAATAAAGAGATTACAAAAGGAAAAAAAAAATATGTTGCTCAGTGAAAGCTATGCTTAGAGGTTGGTTCTGTTTAGTTATAAAATTTTGGGGGCCTGTTTTCTCCTAAGACTGAAGAATGCTGGCCAGAGCAAGTGTCCAGCTTTCTCTGTCGAACCGTAAGAAAATCAGAGCCCACCTTTCTGTTGATAAATTCGGGCATGACAGTTTCCCCCTTAGAGTTCAGTGACTGGAACAGCAGAGTACTGATGTTCTACTTCTGAACTCGGTAAGAAAAGTGTAGTATTGTAAGCTTTTTGCCCTTCGACACACTTAGACTTCGCTGCTTAGCTCTTGTGGACTCACCCATGGCTGGAATAATCTTTTAGAGCTGTGTGGTGCTTTTTCTTTTTATCTGTTGGAGACGCAGATTATTACCCTGTGGCATTGAAATTAGATCCCAATCATGTTTGAACAGTATCAGTGATGTATTTTATTCTTCCATATTCACAAAGGTGATAACATCAAGTAATACAGGTTCATGCTAAGCACTTACTGTTTCAGGGTTGGGCTTTTTGGCAAATACCAAGTTAGGGACCCCCCCCCCCCTTTATTATGATTACTGGATTTTTTTTTTTTTTTATGAAATCTGGGAGGTTTGGGGCTTTCCCTATTCTGGGGTAGTTTTTTGAATACTTAAATATTTGGACCTAAATATCTGGAGCGTTTTTGTGTGGGTTTTTATGTTGTTTTATTTCAAAGCTCTTAACTGTTGAAGAGTCCTTAATCTGTAACATACTCATCACCAGCTTCTTTGACCTTATCCCGTATTTACACTCACCGTTGAAATTCAGCCCTTTCTTCAGATACATTTGGACTGCGCAGTGGTACAGAATAAGAGAATTTTAAAATATGTATTTTTTTATTTTAATCAAAGCAAATGGGTGTGCTGAAGGGGGTAGGTTTTCAGGATGGTTTTCCTTAAAGGGTGGCTCACTCTCAGCTCTTAAGTTCTTTTGTTCACTGACTTTTTGCATGGTTGGGAGGATTCTCAAAAAATAGTTTCCATAGTCTGGGAGTCCTGGCTAACTGTGAAACCACTGGTCTCTCTTCTGATTGGATTGGGCGGGGGGGGGGGGGGGGGTGTTCTAAGAGGCTGTCTTTTCTGCCTTTGTGGCGGACCAAAGGAAGGCTCCTTGCTGGCTGTATTATGGGCCCCTCTCTCCTCCCCCAGTTTTTTTTAAAAAAATCAATATTTACTACCCTGATGCAGTGCTTTCTGCCTTTTTTCACATTAGTTTAAAAACTAATTAATTAAAGCTCTTTCCTAGGATTTCATTAGTAGTTTTAGTTTAAGGGACAGGGTCCAACACTAGAAAATGGGTTTCAGAGAAAAATCCAGCTTATTGATGAATAAGTTAAGTCACTGTTGTCTCCAATGGGAAATCTGTGGTTGCTTTTAGGCATCTGACAGGTTTAGATGTATGTGTTAAGTGACTGAAACACTATTGACTGGGAATATACAACAATGACGAGTGCTGTTGTTTTTACTGATATATAAACTGAAAAACTGCTGCTAATGGTGGGAAATGTTAATTATGTGAGAACATATTGAACTTATATTCTCTGGCATGAACTTTTAAAAAAAATGCATGAACTGCACTGCTTTTTTATAGGCACAGCTTTCTAATTATCATAATTCAGTTCAGCTCAGCTCTTGGACAGAGTTCAAGTGCAATCTCAATTTAACTTGAAAGGAGTTGTGTGTTTTTTTAAAACTGAGAATGTTTAAGAAAATTTGAAAAGTTCATCCAAGAATGTTGTCTGCTTAGGTGTGGGAGATTTGGGGGGATGAAATGAGTGCCTTTCTGTAATAGTTAACTAGATCTGAATATTAGGAAACACTATTTTTTTTTTTTTAGCTTTGCACCTATCCAGACCTGCATCTTGTGCATTTTTGCATAACCAGATGTTATGTG